AAAAATGTTCGCCTGGGCTGCGGGCCGGATCCTGAACTGATACGTATAAATAAAACAGGACGGGAAAGAAGAGGGCGATGGAGAGGCAGCGGCCTCGCCACATCCTCAATGTTTGTCCCAACCACATCTATATGTTCGGATAGCCACCCTCGTGCCACGGTGCGGTGTGTTCGGATTGGGGATATTTATTACTTACGAGTTGGAAGAATTTGGGCCCTCCAGCCGCAAGACCCCGCCGCAAGGTCGGAATCAAAGAGGGTGGATGGCAAAAATAAAAACAAATAAATAAAATTCGTCTTGCCGTTATCGGTTCCTTCCGTCGGGGCCTTTCAAAGGAACATAAGATAGGAAAAGGATCACACGGAAATACTTCCCACGGTTTACCAGGAAATATATTAAATTGGGCAGCCAGCCCTCTCGCTAGCATCCCTTCTCACATGCACTCAAAAATACCAGCACCCATCTACGCATTGACACGCATACTTAGTGAAGAGAGGTCGCAGGAGAAAAAAGCAAAAACAGTTCAACTCAATCTTCTCTAGCACAGGACAGAGAAGACAAATAAAGACACCTAGTGCTCCCGTCCTGCTGCCGCCATGGCTGCGACGGATGCATTCCGTGGTCCACGGCGAGCCCAGCACGACTCCTCACCCCCACAACCATTCATGACTGACGAAAAGAAGGTGCCGAGTGTTTCTTTCAGTTGCCTCCCGCGTCGGGCGAGAAGGATCACGTCGGGCGAGCCTCCGCAACTCACTCCGTGCACGACCTCCACACCAATAGGCGGAGAAAAGAGGACGCGGCTGGGCAGTTTTGCCGCCCACTCGTAGGGCCCGGCCATTCCCCCGAAGCCAAAAATAAATAATAATAATAATAATATACAAGAGAGGCCTGTCTGCGTGGAACGCCGCATCGAGGGTGCTCGTCCCCGCCCTCTGCACAGCAGTCACGGACACTCCCGCACCCATTGGGTCACAGCGACTTCCCATCGCCTGCCCGCGTCAGAAGACGCACGTGGGTGCATGCGGTGCTGGGACTCGTCTCCTCCCTCCAGACCACCTCGCCACCACGCGGTTGCGCAGAAATTCATTCCGCCAGCGCACAAATGTCCGTTAAGCCACGCATCGCAGGCACAAGAAAACAAATATACTCATCGTCCGTTTTTCAGAAGCGAAGAGAGGAGTAGCGCAACAGTTGCACGATGCTATTCTTATCGCTGTGCTGCGTCTCGCGAGTGCGGGGTCGACGGGCCATGTGCACACCACGACCCTGCCAAACGCTGCTCGCGCATTTTCTTTTTTCGTTTTGCTCGTGTTTTCTCGTTTCCTCAAATAAATATGATGGCCCGCACGCCGGCCGCCATCGCAGTGCACGTCCGCCCCGCCACGTGGAGATGTGGAAGAGAGCCCCGTCGCCCGGAGACGGAGCTGCAGCGGAGAGCGTAAAGCACAACCCCGTGACGCTGCTGCTCGATTGGGGGAGTTCGGCGGCATGTTGCTTTTTTTCACCTTGTGTCGTAATAAATTAAATGAAAAGTAACGCTACAGTATAACATATCGTTATTATTATTATTAGGTTTGTTTTTGCTGTGCATATATGTTGTTACTTGTTGTTTGTGGCTTTGTTATTTTGAATTCTTTTTTTAAAATTATTTGTACATTTTGTTGTTTCATTAACATAAGTGGTTTTTTTTTTCATTTTTAGTTTTGGTTACTTTTTCTACCACCCTTTCACATCGGTCAAATGCCTTCAAGAGGAAGGCCGGAGGGAGTGGTTACGAATGTCACTGCACCGATACCTTCATTTCAAGATGAAAAATTTATTGAGCGTTTGCTTCATTATATCACACAGCGCGATGAAACCTCGCTTGTGATGTCGACAGCAAAAGCATTAGGGGCTGAAGACTACATGATTGAGCTTAAAAACCAAATTTTTTTGGATTTACGAATAGATTTTCTTCGTTTTTGCGCTGATCAGAAGTATGGGCCTTCTCAGGTTTTACATCTTATGAGGTGGATGGATCATTTTCAATCCGTTGTGGAAAATGGATGTGATACTGAGGAAATGCGATGTGAATTGATGAAATTTGTTTCTTCTGAAATTGAAGAGGGCTGGAAGTGGCGGCAAACACCTCCTGTTGATGAAATTGCAACCGAGCCTCCTCCTTCATCCAAGAATTTAAACAAAAAAGGTATTAGGGCGACGGACAAGGTGGCTATTGAGGAGGTGGAGGCTACAGCTTTGCTTCCTCGTGAAAACATTTATTTGACAAAAGAGGGCGTGGGGCCGTTTTGCACATATCTTCTTCATGGAATCATTCAGCATGCTTCGTTACATGCATATCTTGCTTGCCATCAAAGAGAGACAAGAGCACCGAATGATATTTTTGTTTTTACTGAACTGCCGGTAATTGCTCCCCCCTTGCGTCTTTACAGCGCGTTAGAAAAGTCTTCAACAGAACCATCTACAAAAAATGATATGTTGAAAAGGTTACGCGGAACAGAGTTGGCATTGCTAATGAATGAATACGAGGAGACAATGATAAAGGAAGAATTGTGGCGAAAAACCAAACAGAATGAGGACGAAATGCAAATTTTCATAGAAAATGACGGTAGCAAAAGGGCGGTTGAAGATACTTATGAAAGACTGGAAGCTGACCTAACGCAGAGACAGAAACGGATTTTGCAGCGTATTACAGCTCTAGAGAAAAAATTGAGTCTTACATCTTCTCCACAAACGCTCTGAGCAGTCGATGAATGAACTAGTGGAATGGGAAACAGGTGTGAAGGTGATAATTATGTATTTGCGAACGTCTCATTGAAAACAATTCTTTTTTTAATTTTAGTGTCGACACTGTTTATGTTATTAGCCTTTTTATTTATGGGCTTCTGACTTTACTTCTGGAAATATATATTTGCTACCCATTTTCCGGATTTTTTTTATTCCTTAAAAAAAAAAAAAAAAAAAGAAACGGATGTGGGAATCAAATAAAAAGCCGATTCCCACATCTATTTTGGACTAGAAGTTTCTGGCAAAGGCATGAAGGGCTCAATTCTTTGAAAAGGGACATGATTCAAAAGAAATTCAGAATATCTTATACCGCGTGTTTCTCTTTTCTTTTTTTTTTTCTATAAAATCTACAGCTTTACCCGTTTCCGGCTTTCGCTGAAGATCTCTGCCTCATTGGTTTAGCAGAAGACACCGACGGTGCATCCTGGAGTCTTTTTTTTATAGGTGTGCTCTTTTACATGGCATGTGGGGTAATGATTTAAAGAAGCTGTGTTTTCTTGACCGTAATAGAAAAAAAAAAAGTTTTGGGGTAAATATGCTGGATGGCTCGATTTTTAATTAATGGATCTTGGTTCAGTTTGAATTCTGTTTATTTTTTAGCTCAGCGATTGATCATTGAAATCCATTTTCGCGTTTTTTTTTTTATATTTGCTCGGTTGGAAGAGGCACATTTTTTTTTTTTTTGCCTTTAATTGCATTCGACATTACCCTTTACTCATTGCCGAGTTAAACACAGGTCGTTGTGATTCTTGGGTCCGTGTAAAACCTTTGAAAAGATATGACTCAGCTGCAATAAATGGACGTGACCATGTAAAAAAAAAAAAAAAAAAAGAGGAGCTTTGAAGGAATTTACTTGAGAGGTAAACCTCTGCACGATTTAACTTTTCCCCATGCGAACTATAGAACATCTTAAATGGGTCTTTTTTTTACCGTGCCACTTTCTTCTCCCTCATTTCATATTTGCTGTAGTAAATTTTTGTGCTCTTTTACTCTTCTTACTTATTTAGAGAACAATTTCCTTGGCAAATAAAGAGGAAATACATACACTTACTTGAAGAAGGAAAAAAAAAAAAAAAAAAAAAGAAAAAAAAAATGGAGCAGGTGAAGGTTGCGTTGCGTGTGAGGCCGCTCTTGCCAACAGAGAGAGAGCGCGGCGAGGACGCCAATATTTCGGTGCTTCCGGGTGGAACGAATGTTCGGGTTGTTACTCGTGTGAACCGTGGCACTCAAAATCAGTTGCATACTTTTGAAATGGATTATTGCCTTGGTCCAGAGGTGAATCAGCAGGGCGTCTTTGTTGGATTAGGGATTGCGGATATGTGTGATGCGGTTTTTGAGGGAAAGGCTGCCACTGTGCTGTGCTTTGGACAAACAGGTAGCGGTAAAACTTACACCATGAGTGGACAAGCCGAGTTAGAGGATACTGGACAAATGACACGGGACGGGATTCAGTTTGCTGCAGCACGATATATAGCCACAATGCGTGATAGACTTATGACTGTTAACGGTGACGCATCAATGACAATTAAATTAAAGGTTTCTTACCTGGAATTATTCAACGAACGCATCAACGACCTCTTGAATGGGAGTGAAGGACTTAGGTGCCGTTGGTCAAGAGACGCCAACAGTTTCTTTGTAGAAGACCTGATGCTTGTGGAGTGCCTGAACGCTGATGACTTTATTTTGGCTCTACAGGAGGGACTGTTTAGACGGAAGCGGGCCGAACACTTTTTGAACGCCGATAGCAGTCGCTCGCATGTGCTCTTCACGGTTTACGTAGAAGTTTCAGAGGGGGATGGACCCACTCGTCATGGCAAAATCACTTTTGTGGACCTTGCTGGGTCGGAACGTCTGAGGGACACAGGCAGCCAAGGTGATGACAGCAAATCCATTAATCGCTCTCTTTTTGTTCTTGGGAACGTTATTGAAAAGCTTTCCAAATGCCACCCACTGAGTCGGAAAGATCATATTCCTTATCGCTCGAGCGTGTTGACGCAGTTGCTGATGGATACTCTTGAGGGGGGCTGTCGGACTCTCCTGGTGGCATGTGTGACACCTTCCTCCCGGTTTGTAGAAGAGTCGCTGCGCACAATCCATTTTGTTCAGCGGGCGCGAAAGATTCGGTCACGGCCGGTGGAGCGTGTTGACGCAACGCAGCAGGAAATTTACGATTTGAAAATGGAAATCCGTCAATTGCAGAATGAAAATGCTCTTCTTCGGCGTGCTTTAAGCTTGTCTGAAACGGGTGCTGTTGACCAGATTCTTATTCAAAAATTCAAACAAAAAAAACCTGAGGTGACGGTGACATCTACCCCTGCGCCTGCAAAGAACGCAAAAAATACTTCAATTAGTGACAATCCGCTCTTGAAGAACGCCACCCGCCGCGAAGAAATGTCGCATGTGCACAGCAACAGAGAATCCGTACAGCGCCCAACGCCGTTGGGCATTCTTGATCGTCTTCCAAGCACATGCGACCTTGCGGCACGACCACGACTTCTGCCGCCGGAGATGAGGCACTCACCGTCGTCAATGGTGTCCTCGTCAGCGGCAATATCCGCTGAATTTGGGTTTCGCGCGGTGCCAAAAAAAAGCAATCTCTTATTTTGGACGTGATTACACCCTTTCTTTGCTAAAACTACTTTTTTTTTTTTTTTGTACCTGTTGCTCTATTTATGTATTTGTTTTTCTATAATATGTGCTTGTGCCTTATTATTATTATTATTATTATTATTATTATTATTATTATTCGCTTGTTTTTGTTTTTCTACTTTTTTTTTTTGCGTAACAGGGTGTGAAATAAGGCTACTTTTTTGTTTGGCGGTAAATAAAATGCGGCTGCTGACGCATAATTTTCTTTGCTGCATTGAGTGCCAATCGTTTCCCCTGCAGCTACGGGACGTGGAGGTGGAAGTGCTGCCCAGTGAATTTAACCCCGCCTTTATTCGCCTGATGCTTGCTCGCATGGATTACGGTTTTATTTTAGCAGCCTTCAATGCCATGAAGGATGGGCAGCAGGATCTGCTAGAATCCGCGAGTCACCTGCCGAAGAGTTTAGAAGATGTTGATCTTTCCGACCAATCAGAGGACCTCAAGGCGATTCATCACGTAGTGCAGGAGATGGCAGTGCGAAATGGGAGGCTTGTGTGCCAACAGTGTCAGCGGGAATACCCGATTCGAGACTTTATCCCAGACATGGTAATTGAGGGGAAGTAATAAGGGCATCTTGATCTTTGTGTTATTCTTTCTCTGCTAGAAATGACGGAAAAGCACATTTCTTAAGGGATTCTGGCAAATGCATTTTGTGATCAACCGTGTTGGTGTTTTTAAAGCGAGGAAGTGAACGGCATTGCGGAGGGAGGATGGGGGTGAGAATGGAATGGAAAGGACGCCCCGTCGATTATTACTTATTTGCTTTGTATTTTTATTTTTTGTGCATGGAATTTCTTTTTTTTTTTTTGTCACTTTGCGATGATAGCACCTGAATTTATTTATTTTACTTGTGATATAGATGCACCGAAGGCGGCTGCGTGAAACCACCCTGTTGGATCGTGTGCATGAGCACGTTGTATTGCCTCCTATTGTTTTGCAGGCGGTGGACACGGTGGCATTTCAACGATTGCGTTCTTTGAAGCAGCTGGGCGCTTCTTCATTTCTGTACCCTGGGGCTGTGCACACGCGCTTTGAGCATTCCATCGGTGTTGCACATATGGCGCGGAACCTTCTAATGAGCATAAAACGCCGCCAACCGGACCTGGGCATTGGCGAAAATGACATTGACAAAGCGATGCTTGCCGGCCTCTTTCATGACATTGGGCACGGCCCATTCTCACACCTTTTTGAAGATGTCATCACAACGCGATGTGGTGTACCATTTAATCACGAGGACATGTCCGAACGCATCACGCGGCGAGCACTGAGGACGCTTCTACCTATTGACGAAGTGGAGGACGTTGTTGCTCTTATGCGAGGACGCTGTGGCCCTTCAACGAAGTACGGGGAGATCATTAGCAACAAACGTAGTGGCATTGACGTGGATAAGCTTGACTATTTCATACGCGATTCTCTTTGCTGCTTTGGTAAACCGACAGTCGATGTGCGCGTCAACCGACTTTTTAACTCCGCTCGGTTGGTATGTGAAGATGGCCAGTGGCAACTGGCTTTTGAGGAGAAGCTAGCGCTTTCACTGTGTGAACTCTTTACGCTGCGCGCGAAGCTCCATAAGAATGTTTACCAGCACCACGTCGTCAAAGCAATTGGACATATGATTGGGGACATCTTCCATTTGGCTGCGCCGCATTTTGTGGTTGGAGGCCACACGCTCCTTGAGTGCGCCGCAGATGATGTACTTCTGTTGAAACTGGGTGACTGGGTGCTGGAGGCAATCGAGAGTAGTTCGGACGAAAAACTGCAGCCGGCACATAACCTTATCGCCCGACTTCGCGCACGCGACATCTACCGTCTGGTCTTTTCTCGCACCCTTGACCCTGAGGCTGAGCTCCCACCATTTTGGCTGCAGCAATTGTCGACAGACATTCTTGCCTGTGCGTCGGTTTCGCGCCCATTCGCCGAATCCGACTTTATTGCCGATCTGGTGGTCATCCATCAAGGCAAGGGCCGAAGAGATCCACTGCAGAGCGTCCTTTTTTTTAACCCAAAGCGACCGTCGCAGCCATTGTCAAAGATTTCACCAGGCGAACGCTACAGCCCACTATTCACGCCTTTTGCCTTTGAAGAGCGCACGCTGATGGTGTTTGAGCGGAGTGATACTGCGGGCGCCGTTCGCGCTGCATGTGAGCGACTAGTTGCGGACGATTCGCACCACCATTTCTTTGTTGAAACTCTACCCTTTTACAATCAGTCTTGAATTTTATTTTGTTGGTGTGATTGCATATCGTAATTATTGCTTCTCTCTCTCTCTCTCTCTTTTTTTTTTTTTTTTTTTCCTGCCTTCATACACACACACCGTATATTTGTGTATGCGTGTGCACATAACTGTACAAATGCCTCTTCTTCTCTTTGAATTTCCTTCTGAAAAATTTTTTTTTCTTTTATTTCATTTAAGAGCAAGTGAAGGTGCTGTTTGTTTTTAGTGATGCGAAAGACAGCACTTTTGCTTGTGCGTCTTCCAAAGTCACGCCGACCACGTGAGAGACCGTGGGAGGTTTTCAATACGCGTGACTTTGGATTTAGTGAGGGATCGCAGAACTACAGCATGTGGCTTTTGACCGCCTCAACATGCGCGGCGCTGCTTCTGTTTGAGGGCTATCAACAAACTTTGCGCATCTTGGGGCGCGGCGACACGTGTCCTGCCTGTGACGCAGCACGTGAACATTACAGACAGCGCGTTTCTGACAAGGAGCGCGAGGTTCAAGAAGTGTCCCATCGTATCGGTCGCGTGTGAAATTGTTTAGCTTTTTTTTGCTCTGTTTCTGTTTGTTTGTCTCTCCCTCTCTTTTTGCGTGTGTCTGTGTGCATTTGTTTTTAGCAGGGCTGTGACGGCGGTGGTAGTGAGAAATGTTTGACCCACTAAGGCCTCTTCTCCTTGCATGATCCACTTTGTCATTCTTGTACATGTCCGCACGCATTCACGTATACAACCCTTCCAACTATTTTCGCTTCTCCACAGAATCACAACAGCAAGCAGGGAAAGCAAGAAAAAAAAAGAAAACCTGAAAAAAGGAAGAAAAATAAAATAAGGGCGAACGCACCTATAGCCAATGATTGAGGACCACATGGAGTATGGGCATCATTTTTCAAGGAAGTTGGCGGACTCGACGTTGTCGCTCCCGCGGCAGGGAGTGAAGGAGCAGCAGTGGTCTCCCTATGCGGACAACGGCGGCACAATTGCTGCCATTGCTGGCAAAAATTACGTCATTTTGGGTGGAGACACGCGCCTGAATGGCGACTTCTGCATCCACGCTCGTGATGACCGCACAAAGTTGTTTCAGCTCACAGAGCACACATTTCTTGCGTCAACAGGTATGCAGGCGGACCGCCTCCAGCTTCAGCAGATGCTGAAGTATCGTATTCAGTGGTATCAGTATAACAACGGGGGAAAGTTGCCTTCCACGAAGGCCATTGCGAAGCTTACCTCCACCATGTTGTATCAGCGACGCTTCTTTCCGTACTACACGTTTAATATGGTTGTTGGCCTTGACGAAAAGGGCGCTGGCGTGTGCTACAGCTATGACCCTGTTGGATCGACGGAACCCTTCCGCTACGGCACTTCCGGGTCTGCGAGCAGCTTCGTGGAGCCGCTCATGGACTGCCTGCTGACGCGCCAGCACATGGTGCAACAGGCCCCTGCTGAACTCAGCATGACAGAGACCCTTGAGATGCTTAAGAACGCTTTTACTGGAGCGGCAGAGCGTGACATCTTCACGGGCGACGCTGTGTGCTTTCACATCATCACGGCGGATGGCATCCGGAGCGAGCTGTTCGAATTACGGAAGGACTGAGAAATAGAGATGGCACTGAAACTCATATCTGCGTAAAAGAGGTGCTGTATTTACATTTTTAGGGGAATAAACGAGAAAGAAAATGGGTGGAATAAATATCTAGTTCCTCAAAATGTGTTTTTTTTTTCTCTTTTTTGCCTTTTTTAAATTGTTATATGCTTAAATTTTTTTTTTTTTTAATAGTCTGTGTATGCTACCCCTCTTGCAACATTTTTATGGTAACGATTCTTTACGAGTGTTACAAATCCCACGCCTGCAAGACATGCAGCGGCATTGAACTGGAAAATTGAATTTTTTTCCTTCCATCTTTTTTTTTTTTTTTTTTTTCTAACTCTTTAATCACATAAAAAACGAGAAAATTTGTGCGTGGAAACATCCTTTGAAAGGGGGTGTGAAGGAGTGGGCAGCTGGCACACAAGTGCCACCGAAGAAGAATACGCACACGCAGAAAGTAAAAAAAAAAAAAAAAGGGAGGGGTGGGGCTTTGGAAGGGGAGGAGGATAGATAAAGATTAAAATTGAAGAATATTAGTATTACGCATGAACAAGGGCGTAGTGCGGTTTCACGACGTGCATGAGGTGCCGTACGGAGTATTTAGTCCGCTGTCACCGCATCCGATAGTTATTCGACACAAACAATACCCATCGGTCCACCACTACTTTCTTACTGAACGATTCCGCGACGCACCAGTTACAGCGGCGTTGCGGTCGGCAACGTCTGTCTGGGAGTTGGACCGTCTTGTGAAGGAAGCAGAACGGACGGGCAGTCAGCGTGAGGACTGGAACAGAGTGAAGGTTGACGTCATGCTGCTTGGTAACTACATGAAATTCAAGCAGAATGAGGCTGTGCGAAGCCTTCTTTTGGAGACAGGCGATAAACTTATAATTGACCACACGACATCCGATGACTTTTGGGGTGACCGTGGTGATGGGAGCGGAAAAAACCTGCTTGGCGTTATTCTCATGGCCGTACGAGATCGTTTGCGCCGCGAAACGGCCACCAAAGCGCGGGAAAAGTGATGGGGTTATCGCCAAAAAGCTGTCCTAGAGCATACATATATACATATATATGTAATGCCTCCAAATGTATGTAAAATATGAGTAAATTGTGATTATTCCATGAGTTTTATTCACCCTCTTTTTCTGGAATTGAAGTGGACGGCGTGAAAGAATATATATATATATATATATATATATATATATATATATATATATATATATGTTTGCTTTTTTTCTGCGTGAGTTTTGCCTTTTTTTTTTTTCTCCTACAAATATTTTCTCTGTAGCGGTGTTCTTGGGCGTTTTTTTTTCTTGTTGCTGCATTCTAATGGGTATTATTTCTTTCCTTTTTTAAAATGTTCTTTTCAGAATCTACCAGCGTTACTGCAGCTTACATTCATGCGATATTTGCTCCTGTCGAAGGTTACGCAGCTGCTTCTGCTGCTGCTGCTAATGCTCTTCGCGGCTGTTTCTGCGCGAGCGGACCCGGTAGTGACGGATAAAGTGTACTTCGACATTACCATCGGCGATGAGCCGGTGGGTCGTGTCGTGATTGGCCTTTTTGGCAATGACGTACCCAAAACCGTGAAGAACTTTAAGCAGCTTGCTAGCGGCGAGAACGGTTTTGGGTACAAGGGCTCCATCTTTCACCGCGTCATCCGTAACTTCATGATTCAGGGCGGTGACTTTACGAACTTTGACGGGACGGGTGGGAAGTCCATTTACGGTGCGCGCTTTGACGACGAGAACCTGAAAATCAAGCACTTTGTCGGTGCCGTTTCCATGGCAAATGCGGGGCCCAATTCAAACGGCTCTCAGTTTTTTGTGACCACGGCGCCCACGCCTTGGCTTGACGGCCGGCACGTTGTTTTCGGAAAGGTTGTGGAAGGGATGGACGTTGTGAAGAAAGTGGAAAACACCAAGACGGGATTGAACGACAAACCAAATAAGGCAGTGAAAATTAATGACTGTGGAGTACTGTAGGCAAAACACACACAAACAAACAAAAAAAAGACGGGGTAGGAAATAATTACCTATGCATGTGCCAGCTTTCGCATACGCATTTAAGGATCGGTATGCACTCGAAATGAGTTTTTTTTTTTTTTTTTTTTTTTTTTTTTGCGTTTTGTTTTGAAGGAATAGAAATAAATTAAAAATGAAAAAAAATGCGGATTGGAGGAGGGGGGAGAAGCGGAAAAAAATTGGGAATAGCAAGTTAGCTGGCATTTATTTTATTTTATTTTTTGTATCTGGTTTGGCCTTTTTTTTTTTTTTTTGTCTACATAGATTGTGGGAAGCATAGGCGTGCTTAGATTGATAGAAGGCTAGATGCGTCTTTCGTACAGCGACCAGCTGATTGGGCTTGATCAGCAGCGCCGAGCAAAGGCATATGGGAGGGAGGCAAAGCGTTTTCATCTCAAGCTTGTCATCTTTGCTAGTGCGCTTTCGTACTTGGCAGCACGTGTTGCGGCGTGGATATACCCAAAGTCGGTCTCACATACCTGGGTTGATGATGTTCTTGTTGAAGTTGTCGAAGATGATGGATTAGAGCGTGTGTGCAGCATCTTTGGATGTGTCTTTACGGCCTCTTTGTTTTTTTTTGTCTTTCTGACGATACGAGCGGACGTGCGTCGCAACTTTTTTCCTCCTTCACGTGGTTCTCGCGCTGCTGGTGAAAGAGGACATCGGGTAAAGGGATGGTCCGAATCCTTCTCATCGCTTGCTGTCCCTGCATCAACTATCTTTGGCGCTCTACCAAAGGCGGATGGCTCTACCACCACCGCAGTTGGGAGCGCGCACCATTTGCGACTGAACCAATATCATCTGCCTCAACAGCAGCAGTCGATCCGCACCGAGGCACAGTTGAACCAATTTCTTTCATCAAAGGAATCCTCTAGCGAAAATGGTGGTGGGGCACCGCTGGCTACTGTCACGGCTGCTGCCGCTGCTTCTTTTCCCACGGCAACGCCCTCCGCTCCTGCTGTCACTTCATCGGCCCCCGGTGCGGGAAGTGTGTTCAGTGGGCCGCTAGTGGGTGGCGGCATCGCGGCGGGTCCGTCGGACGGCATTCGTGTACAGTATCTTGGTGGCGCCGAGAAGCAGAGTGCGGCGCAGCCGGTGGACACGGAGTGGGCTGGTCTGGGCATTCTCAGTGCTGAGCGCTCAATTCTAAAGGCGCGCAGGTGGCTATCGGATCTCTGCCAAGAACTGGTGGAGGAGACAGCCGCCTGCGACCGCTGGTTTGCGGAACGTCAGATCAGTTCTTTTGACACCACACATTGTCTGCACGAGACTATCCCTGGACCTCGGCCATCCAATTCAGCGGGTGTTGGCGTTGGTCTCCCGACTCTGCTGTCGTCAACGACACCCGCGGTTTTACGTAAGCTTGACGCTCTATTGAACGAACGGCAGAAACTTGCGGGTCAGGCGCAGAATGTGCAGAATTTTGACGTCATCCTTCATCTTGACCAGCGACTTTCTCTTGAGGCTAAACTCGATCCATCCGGCACCTTTCCTTCGGCGTCACCTCTATCGGTCGCAGAGCAGCAGGCGCAGCGGCAGTATGTTATCAAGCGACTGCGCGCCTTTGCGTCCCAGAAGACGCTGGCCTCATACAGACACAACCACGGCGATGCGGACGTCTGGCGGGAGGGCTTCCCCACAGACGCCCATTTGCTGATCCATATTGTTCGCGTCTGCGTTGATGGGTTTGCTAACTACGTGAAGTTTTTACATCAACCGATGAACCCACAGCAAGACCTGGCAATATTTGTTGGTGATACCGGAGAGCCGTATTTTTACGTGCGGTATCGTAGTGGACCAGATGACAAGACGTATGCGACACATCAGGGTGTAAACTCCCTCTTTGAGGCATTGCTGATTTTTGCGGCGATTGTGCGCGCGTACCACAACGACTCCTACGGTGGCATCTGGGGTGTCATGGACTTATCGCAAACAGGCCTGCTGAATGTGTTGTAAGTACTTCGGTCATGTGGTGTTTCTTGTTTGGTAGGAGGATACAAGACGTGGCGAGAATATCACGAGGAGAAGTGGAATACAGGAAACAATATATATATATATATATATATATATATATATATATATATATATATATATATATATATATATTTTTAATTCAATTCCAAAAAAAAAAAAAAAAAAGAGAAAGAAAGAAAGGAGTATATATATATATATATATTTATTTATTTATTTATGAATAGCAAGAAGGGTGTGTGTGTGTGTGTGTTTTGCTGGGAGAATGACTGAATTAACAATCGGATGCGTCTTTCATGCTCGTTTATCCTCGCTCTCCCTCTTCATTCTCCTTTTTTCCTTTCTTGCATGGTGTAGGCGGAGAGGATAAACCGGCGTCGAAGGCGCAACGCCAGCAACAACATCATCAGTGAAGAAAAACGAACACTTTTCCTTCTCTACCCCAAGAAAAAAAAAAAAAAAAAAAGAAGAAAAGACAGTGCGGAAATGTGCAATTCTCCCGTTCCTGTTTACGTGCTTGGCCGCCACATGCTAGACGCGTACTTCTTTGAGATGGAGGGCACGGCAGACTTGGACTTTGTAATCTGCGACGTGGCAAAAAATTCCACCAGTGATCGGGAGCGCATTGTTGACTACTCATGGCTAGAATTTGCAACAAAGCCGTGCTTTTGTCCGGCTGATTCCATTTCGAGTCGAGTGCATGCACTCGTGCGGTGGATTGAACGCGGTTACACGGAGAAGTGTACACGCGAGTTACCCGAAGCGTTGCGTGCCCATAGTAAGACGATGGGCTTTGAGTACGATGTGTACCTGAGCAGCATTGTCAGCGATGATGGTCGCCGCGTGGAGGGCGTTGTGCAGGCCGTTGACGGTTGCGTGTACATCACACTTGCCATCCCACTCCTGCTTGAGGAGAGGGCGCGTGTGCGACGCAACCTGTCAAACGTGGTGGAGCTGTACTCGAAGGTGTTGCAGCTGCGCCTTGATACCGTGCCGCAATTTTCACGCGTGGAGATTTCACTTATCATTAGTTGCTGCGCCAACAGTCGCGATGCGCCCGTAGATGTGTTGTCTGAACGCATCGCAATGGACCTGGGGGAGTCCAATAATTCCACTGAACTTTCCTTCATGTCGTTCATTACAAGCTGCGTAAAATTCCGACGAATGCCGCGGTATTCGTCGACTCTGCAGCGCGGTGCGAGCTTTATGGATTACATTCCGTTGCTCGAGCGGGCGCTCTTTGCTTCGCTGCGTGAGCCCTTGCATTTTCTTGAATTGGTCTGCATGATGTCGTCTGTCTTTGGTCGGCCCATTAGTGTCAACGTTGCGACGAATTACCCTGGGGAATGTGGTAACGGCGGGGACGTGTCGGTACGTTGTGCCACCTTCTGTGTTGTGGATGATGCCACGCAGTTTAGCTTTTGCATCTGTGTGCGCTACCAAAATGGCTGGACACTTCCGTCCGTAAGCATTATTGCCAACCAATATGCAGACGGCACATCGCAGGGGTCGCCGTTGCGGGGGAAGTTGCAATACTCCGAGGATGTGAGGCAGCTGGAAAAAAGATGCAGTAACGAGGAGTTTTTAGATGTGGTGGCGCTCTGCGAGGCCATTGAGCGCGGCTCCTTTGAGGTCATGGCGTTCCTTATTGCGCTATGCCGGTAGGTGTGTGACTGACATTTCCTTTTAAAAAAAAAAAAGAAAATTTTTTTTTTTTTTTTTTTTTTTTGTTGTATGCGTCCACTGTGGCGATACACGGAGACAGAGTACACAAAAAAAATATATTGTGTGCTCAACTCAATATTTGTGGGTGCATTGTGGTAATTTTTTTTTTTTTTTCTTTTTCCACCCCCTGGCATTGCTGCAGTGGATACAAGCAGATGAACGATGGAGTGGAGAATGCGGGGCCGTCTACCGACACGGGGGCCGACTTGTCCATCAAAACAATTATGGAGCAGCAACGCGTCATTGCCACCCTCCGCGAGATGATTACAGCCATGAAGTCGCGGCTGTCGACACTTGAGGCTGCCGCATCCAATGAGGTGGCACATCCCTCTGCTACCGCTACCGGGAATTGTGACAAGGACGCCTCTCTGCACCAAAAAGAGAATGTGCGGCTTAGCCGCTTAGTGGAGCAGTTGACCAGCGAACGCGATGCGACAACAGCAAAGTGCGCGGAGCTGGAGGCTGCCGTTGAGAAAGGGGACTGTCGGATGGCGGAGGCTCTCAAATGCTGCAGACGGTTGAAGCAGATGGAGGGAGAATTGCGCACGACACGCTGCCTTTTGAACTTTACCGAATCGCGTTACAGGGAGACGGAGCTGGACTGTAGGCGGCTGAAGGAGGAGATGGAGGCCTTGTCGTTTGAGCGTTCGCGCTGGAAGGCTCTTGCGATGACCATTACAAACCGACTTGACACCGTTACGCGGGAGCGAGCGCTCATGCACATCAGCTCATTGGAGCGTGAGCAGAGCATGCGGACAGCAGAGCGCCGAGCAGTTTCCCCAAACAGCAATGCCAATACGACTGCGGCGGCAATTGCCAGTGATAATGTGACATCTCTCCCAACATTTGACGCCATGGAGCTGATTTCCGCGTGGGGTACTCAACAAACTGCCCCATTACCACCACTCCCGCGCGGTGTAGTCAACGACGGTACCAGGCGTTCTTCACCGGCCTTGCCATCTAGGAGTATTACCCCGCGACGTAAAGGCGGCCGCTATTTGGTACCACTGTAGCCACGAAAAAAAAAAAAAAAAAAAAAAAAGAGTCAGCGGTGACGACAATATACAATCCTCCCCGTTTGTATATATATATGTATCTACAATGTATAAAAAAAAAAAAAAAAAAAGATATACACGCATACATATATAATTGTTTACACAATTTTGATGCAGAGGTTTTTATACATTGAAAAACAAAAACAAAAACAAAGCTTTTTTTTTTTTTTTTTTTCTATTTTTTTTCTTTATTATTATTATTTTTTTCAATATACTTCTTTACCACATCGCCCGCAAGGGCGAATACTGGAAGGTAATGGTCATGGCCGCGTCAAACGACCCAAATGACCACGTGGCATTCAGTGGCCCTTATTTGAAGCAGGTGCTCCCACCGCGGACATCGACGGATATCAACTGCAGTGCCACCACACAAGGCAGTGCGATAACGGCTGGACGAATTCGTCGCTACACACACAACCCATATGCGTCGCAGTCAGCGACTACATCGTGCAGCTCCACTAACACCTCACGGCAGCTGAACTCCTCTAATAACACTAGCTGCGATAGCTCCATACAGGTTTACAACAATTGCTTTGCGCGAGAGGCTAGTGGGGCGGAATTGGCTCTTTTGAGCAGCAACTTACTGGAGCAATTTTTTGCTGTTGTGGGGAACATTCCGCGGACGGCATGCACAGTGACTGGCCGCCACCTTCTTGTCTCGGTCCTCCGCCTGCAGCATACGGACAAGGTGCAGATCATTATTGACGAGCTTCTTCCGCAGCTTAACATTGTCGCGCTTGATCAGCAGGGATGTCACGTTGTGCGTGCTCTCATTGAACTTATCTCAACCGAGCTGTTGGAAACGATTCTGCCGCACTTTGCACCGAAGACAATAATTGAATTGGCTGTCAGCTCGCAGCACACCCGCCGCGTTGTGCAAAGCATATTTGAGCGCCATAAGAGCGAGGCCCTTACACCAATTGTGACGACGATTGCACAAAGCGGTCAACAACTGGCAGTCTCACAACAGGGATGCATCGCCGTCATTCGCACCATTGAAAATTCTCTACCACACCAGCGGCGGTCCGTTATCTCGATGCTACTTCCAGTTTTGCCAAGCCTCACGATGAACTGCTACGGCAACTACGTGGTGCAGTGTCTGCTTCAACACATGGACCATGCCTCTCTTGTGTCGGTTGTCTGCCACAACTTTGCGGGACACTGGTTAACACTTTCATGCAACAAGTTTGCCTCCAATGTCATTGAAAAAGTTGTATGGCAACTCGACGGGGTGGCGCGCAAGGAAGTGGTGGATGAACTTGTCATGGACGCAAGTAATCTCAGATGTCTTATGCAGGACGGGTTTGGTAACTTTGTTCTGCAGGCGATCATCGACTCGTCCAATGACTTGGAGGAGTTCAGTGAGGTCTCAAGCCGTGTGAGGCCGCTACTACACACCAGCCCGTACGGTCACAAGATTGGCAACAGGCTGCATGGCGGGTTGGTGCGCTCGCTACAAGTTACACCCGCCCCACAAGTCGGTGGTAGTGCAGCTCCGCTCATGGATGAGTGAGGAATAAGAAGAGGGAGGATGGAAGGATGGAAGGAAATAAACACATATCACGGAAACATATACAAGGACGAGCAGGAAGCGCATTTGGATTTACAACGCATTTCTTCTGCTACTCCTTTTTTTTTCCTTTCTCTACCACTTACTGCTGCTCTTTGTTCTCGCTTGTCATTGCCATTTACTACTTCGCCGACACACACGCAATATATATATATATATATATATATATATATATATATATATATATATATATATATGTTTGTGTATTTCATTATGGTAATAGATTAATTAGAGTCGTTTTGTGTGTGTTGTGGTGCGCATGCACCGAGTGTGTAGAGGCGTGGGAGTGGGATAGATTAAAGCACTCTTTTTACTCCCCACCGTGTTAAAAAAAACAAAAAAAAACATATATATATATATATATATATATATATATATAGCGAGGATTACAAAGTACCAGGAGGCGGAGCACTTTTTTTATTTTTTATTTATTTATTTTATTATTATTATTACCTGCATCTCGCTGCAGTGCAGTGCATTATTTTGGATACACGTGCTGTTGTTGATTGCCATCGTCACTGTCTGGAAGGTGTTTTTGTTGTTTTTAACTTTTCACATTTCTGCTACTCTTCACTTGGGCTTTTTGTGTATTATTTTCAAACTTTTCTTTTATTTCTTCTTTTTTTTTCTTTTTTTTTTTTTTTTCTTTTTCTGAGGGAGATGGACGGCACTGTGACATGCAGCTGGCGGGAGCACCGCCACGACTGCCCGCCCCCAAACCTTGTGTTCTGCCAAGATGCACAATCTGCACGCATGCATGCAGAGGCTGTTGCCGCATCGAGGGCTGATGGGAATACAAATACGACGGCAGTGGTGCTCGATGACGAAAATGAGGCAGCCGCAGCCCCATGGATGACATTGCAGCTGCAAAATTCCTTGCGTCATCTGGTTGTTTTGAGCAACGCGCGTGTTTTGGAGGTCCATGTCGGTGAGACCGCCATATACACGCACAAGGGGGTTGCCGTTGCGGCAGGTTTGTTTCTTCACGACACTGAGTGTAATGCGGTCGCTGGACAGACGCTGAAGCTGAAGTTTTTTGCCCGAAAGGCAAAAGACGTTATTGACTTGGTGGTTTTATCTCTTGTTTTTGACTCCGTGGGCCCGGGCGACAAAAGCGGTGGCCACGACGGCCATGTCGCTGACGCCGCGTCTACAGTTGAAAGCCGGATGCGACAGCTGGAAATGCTTCTGCACACGTCAATGAAGTCGGTGGTGCTACGACTGAAGGAATTGGAGGCAAGAATTGGCGCGTTGGAGTCTCGAGGATGTGATGAGCAGCAGCGTTGATGATGATGATGGTGATGGTGATGCGTATTTGTATGTGAGCCGTTTACGGTTGTGCGTGTGTATTATACGCCCATGTGTGTGCATTTTGCGACTCTCTTGTTTCCTTATTTTTATTTTTATTTTTATTTTTGGCCACTTGCTATCAACAAAACGACAACAAAAAAGGGGGCTCTCCCACTTTTTCATTGCTGGTGCAGAAGTTATTGCAAACATGCGGCTTATGACGCTGCAGCCGCGCCTGAGCGGACGCTCTTTTCACACGCAGCACCGTACGCCAATAATACCACAAATGCCTGGAGGGGACACGGTGCCGGGCTCGAATACCGGTGTTTTAGTTGGTTATCTCCTTCATCGGCACCCGGTGTTGAAACACACACCGCACCCACTTGAGATGGAGATGGGCTTTCTACTGGAACGTGAGCACCAGCGTTACTGTAGACACGAGGCGTCGGAGTCTGCCACGCACTTCATGGGTCAGAGAGGGCTCTCCATCGACGTCATGAACCGCACTGACCCGCGCGAGACGAAAGGTAACTTTTTTGGCCTCGATCTCTACCAGGATGCCATGCGTGTGGTGCTGCAACGCTACAAGCCGGAGAGGCGGGTGACACCGCAGGATCTATGGAATCCCTCAGAGCTCAGCGACACTACCCCGCCTTCGCGCCATTCGATTCATCGCAAGATGGATGATTATCTTTACCTCATCATACAGGACGCAGCGAGCAGCAAGTGGACAGTGCCGTACACTGCCTTGAAGGATCGGGAGACACTTCGCATGGGCGTAGACAGGGCGATAGCGAAGCACAATAGCGATGCCCTGGACTGTTATGTGTGGTCAAACGCGCCACAGGCGACGGTGTCGAATAATGTTGACAACACTCGCCTCTTTATGTATGCTGCGACTTATCTGATGGGACGGCCTAGGTTTTCTGAATTTGAGCCGACGCTGAAAGACCACGCGTGGGTAACACGGCACGAGATGCTTCAATACAAACAGGAGTTTCAGAGTGCCGAACTACTCGAGGCTCTACTTGACATTTCTGCCGATGGAATATTTGAGAGTTGATGTCAATAGGGTTTCAATATGTTGACTCACGAGTCGGCGTCTTTAATTACCATCTGACAAATTTCTACCCGATTCGATTGTCTCTTTTATTATTTCCCTGCATCTTCCCTTTTTTTTTTTTTTTTTTACTGTTTTATTTTTATTTGTCTTTTTAATTTATTTTTTTAAACCAATCTCATAGTGACCAACAAAAAAAAAGAAGGTGAACTTGTTGCTTTTTTATGCAATATGAAAGACATTCAAATGCCCGAAGATGTCCGGCTGCGCCTTGAGCGCTTTATGCGGAAGTACAATCCTGGGAAGCTTGGCACAATTGACGGCATTTTGAAGGCATACAGGGGAAGGGAGGAGCAGATGTTTGAGGCACTGGTGAGGAAGTACGGCCCGGAGCCTTCACGGGATGAGTTGCCTGACGCTGCTTCTGCCAAAACCGCCCAATCCTCCTCTGTACACACTGAAGAAACCGAAGATGTCCGGCTGCGCCTTGAGCGCTTTATGCGGAAGTACAATCCTGGGAAGCTTGGCACAATTGACGGCATTTTGAAGACATACAGGGGAAGGGAGGAGCAGATGTTTGAGGCACTGGTGAGGAAGTACGGCCCGGAGCCTTCACGGGATGAGTTGCCTGACGCTGCTTCTGCCAAAACCGCCCAATCCTCCTCTGTACACACTGAAGAAACCGAAGATGTCCGGCTGCGCCTTGAGCGCTTTATGCGGAAGTACAATCCTGGGAAGCTTGGCACAGTTGACGGCATTTTGAAGACATACAGGGGAAGGGAGGAGCAGATGTTTGAGGCACTGGTGAGGAAGTACGGCCCGGAGCCTTCACGGGATGAGTTGCCTGACGCTGCTTCTGCCAAAACCGCCCAATCCTCCTCTGTACACACTGAAGAAACCGAAGATGTCCGGCTGCGCCTTGAGCGCTTTATGCGGAAGTACAATCCTGGGAAGCTTGGCACAATTGACGGCATTTTGAAGACATACAGGGGAAGGGAGGAGCAGATGTTTGAGGCACTGGTGAGGAAGTACGGCCCGGAGCCTTCACGGGATGAGTTGCCTGACGCTGCTTCTGCCAAAACCGCCCAATCCTCCTCTGTACACACTGAAGAAACCGAAGATGTCCGGCTGCGCCTTGAGCGCTTTATGCGGAAGTACAATCCTGGGAAGCTTGGCACAGTTGACGGCATTTTGAAGACATACAGGGGGAGGGAGGAGCAGATGTTTGAGGCACTGGTGAGGAAGTACGGCCCGGAGCCTTCACGGGATGAATCGCATCTTTTGGAGCAAAAAAAGCCGCCGCCGAGTGGCGTTAAAGATGTTAAGCGTTTGCATTCTGAAGGCATTTCAACAAGGAACGTCATTGAAAAGATCTTGCGTGCGGCTGAGGTATCTTACGAGGAAGTGCTTCTGGCATTGTGGTGCCAGAAGCGCTATTTGTTTGATGCCATAAGTGAGTTGCCTACCACTGCTTCTAAAGAGTTGAGGGCTGAGTCCTTCTCCCCATCGTCACAAGCCACTGCGTCCAGGGAGCGTTTATCACGTTTCTTTACTATGTACGCCCCGGAGAAGTTGAGCGGTATGGATGCTCTTATCGAGGCTGCTGGGGCGGAGGGTATGAATAAGCTTATCGACAGTCTTGTTGCGGTGTATGGTCCGGAGCCAGCTGGGGATTACGAGACAGAGGACAGCAGAAGTGCGGGGAATGAAAACACGAAGAAGAGGTTTGTTTCGGACGGGGGTGACGATAACAACGACTGCGAGGAACGGCAGCTTTTTGCTAATTGGCTTGTTGGGACCGGGAGAGGTGCGGAAAATATCTTTTACACTCTTATGCCAGAGGAGCAGCTACTAGATTTTGTGGGGGCGACTTTTGGGGACTACGAGAACCGACTGCGGCGTCTTTTTGTGCGCTACAATCCGGCACGTTTGCAGGAAGTGAATTCGCTGGTTGCCGATCATCTTGGCCACGAGGAGGAACTCATTGAGCAGCTCACGCGAGAGTTGGGGCCAGAGCCGGCGAGATCTGCCCCAACGGCGTTAACGCGCCTCTTCAGTCGCCGTCGTATCGATGCTGACAGAAGCCACATCGAAGAGGAGACATGGAGTGATAACGGCGATAATAATGGCGGTGGTAATGACAGGGTGAATGGGGCCGAGCATCTACCAATGACTCTTGTGAACGGTCGCGCTCTTATCGACGAATACACTGCCAACGAGTCAGCCGAATTCAGCGGCGATGAGGCCGCAGCGTATCCGCGTGACGAGGAGTATTGGTACCGACTTTTTGTACATTCTCGCGAAGACGCCACAAATAATGATAACGATACTGATGACGAGTATGAGGATAATTCTTTGCGTACGCACTGTGATTCCGCAAAAAACGATGGATTGTCTACGGATTGCGCACAAACAGCCACACTGTCTTCAACAACAATAACGGGGGAGCACAGGTCTCTCGATTCACCAACAACAGTTGAATTACGCAAAATAAGAGGGGGCAAACGGCGAATTCGGGTAACGCTTGGCAATAAATTTGGTCAGGCAATCGGCACGCTTTGCACGGCTTGCGGGGAGAGTGTTGTACAGTCGTTTGAGGCGCTCTGGCAGCCGGTAGGGCCGCAATACCTGCAGCTGTTTTCAGAGACAGTGGTGAAAGACGGATACCTGGAGAAGCTCTCACCCGACACCCGCCGCATGGGTGTGAAATGGCAGAAGCGGTATTTTCGCGTGAACGACAAGGGAATGCACTATTATGAGACGAGCGCCACCAGTGAGAAGCCAAAGGGATACAAAGTGTTTACAAGGAACAGTGTGGTAATATCAGGCGTAGATGCTTCGACGCACCCAAATTGCATAGACCGTCGCTATCACTACTTTGCCGTTACCGTGAATGAATCAAACGACGTTTTTTATCTCCGCACCCCTAGTGATGAGGAAAAACGTCAATGGGTCTCTTTTATGCAGCTTGCCTTGGCTCGGATGCGGCTCACAACAGTGGGCCATGATCAAAACCCGAGCCGCTGGCGTGCGAGGATGACAGGGACGAGGGAGGCTAACATTGCCCTTATTGAATTGGCACAGGCCTCCGCTAATGTGCTGCAGAGCCTGGAGCAAAAACACAATGAGTTACACGAGCGTATCCGGTCAGAACGGGCACAACGGGAGCTGATGGAGACACAAATGTCGGAAATGCAGAAACAACAGGATTTTCTCGCACAGCGGATTAAAGAAGCAAAGGCCCAGGCGCGCCTTGCCGAGGAGGATGCTGAAGTGAAGTGTCTCGAGTTGGCAGAGCGGGCGGCATCCATCAAACAACGGCGACTTGATATGAAGGGCAACCTTGAAGAAGCGCGCAGCAGCATAGATGGCATCACCCACTCAGTCCTCAAGCTGCAGCGCGACATTGTTGACATGGAAAACGAGTGCAGGGGCCGTGAGGCACAGCTACGGCAGGTTTATAACAAGTGGCAACTTTGTGAGGAACGGCGAGCCTATGAGAAGGGCGGAGAGTATCGCAAATTTAGCAGTTAGTGACACCATTATCGACATATATACATAGGGTGAAATTGATCATACACGTAAATAAAACAATATATCTATATCTATATATATCGATTGATATTTTTTAGTGTTGTTTTGAATATTCACGTACTGATGAAATGAATGTTATGTCTATAGTTATATGGTGCTCTCTCCACCTGCCTGTGTGACGTTCTTTTTTTTTATGCCCATATATATATATATATGTGATGTAATGACGAAGAGTGCGTTTATTTTAGCAAAGCCATTAGCCGCGGAAGTTACACCGGATATCAGGAGCGACAATAATTTCCATAAACAGTAGGGGACTCCAGTACATAAGATCACTGAGCCTCGGAACGACTATTAAATCATGAGTAAGGCGAAGCTAAAGTTGAGCATAGAAGGGAAGACCGTGGTATATGAGGGGCGACCGGAGAGCCGCAAGAAGGATTTACTCGATATCCTTGTCAAGATGAAAGTCGACCCGTCTGTCGCGGTTAAGGCATTTCGTGAAAACATTGAGGACGCCGCGAGGTACACTGACGAAAACATTCAGCAGCAGTTTCTTGACGCTCAGCGGGCCTACGCGGAGAAGAAGAAGCGCAAGATGGGAGAAGTCGTCAGTGAAGAGCAACAGAAGGAGAAACCAGAGAGGATAACACTGAGCTTTAAAGGGAAGCAGTTTTCGTATGAGGGTCTTCCAAGCAGCAAGCAGTACGCTGTGATTGAGTTGCTTATAAAACAAGATGCAACCCGAGAGTTGGTGGTAGAGACATTTCGTGTGAATCTTCCGGAGTCTTCCGCTAGCGATGAAGAAATAATGTCGATGTTTACGGCTGCGATGGATGCGAAGAACGCACGAAAGGCAGCGAAAAAGAAGGACACTGCCGGTGAGCGGGCTGCGCAGTCTTCGTCACGGTCAATCGAGCAACCACCACCACCACCACCACTACCACAGCAGCAGCAGCAGCAGCAGCAGCAGCAGCAAATAATGAATACCTCTTCTACTAGCGGCGTGGATGCCATTGAAGAAATTACGGGTATGTCGGTGGAGGAGCGTGACTCTATCAGCAACTTCATCAAGCAGGTACTTGAGCAGCCTGAAATGGATCTTACGGCGCGTATGCGTGAGGAGTCAAACACGTTTTCAACGGTGGGTGCAATGACACGAAACACCGGCCCTGGTGCTGGTGCTGAGGATGATGCGCTGACGATGACACTACGCTCAACACGGGGGAAGATTGCCATTTATTGTCAGGAGGAAAATAGCACGGCAAACAAAGTTCTTTACATTTCCCCCAATACAACATTTGAAGAGTTTTGTGCGATGGTGGAAAAGAAATTTGGACGCAAGATGGTGATGTCATTTAACGAAGGTGAGGATTTAATTGACATGGACGATGACGATGTGTTCTGTATGTTTCTTGAGATGAGCCAGAATCACACGCAAGAAGGCAAACGCATGAAACTCATCTGTGCTCCACCAGAGACTCGCAAGAAGGTGTCAGATGACAAACTAACCGACACAAAGGGCGGCGATGTATTTAAGATAAAAGCCTTTTCAAACGGCAAGTTGGATGTCAGGGAGGAGAGGTCGTACACCGGACACGCCTCTGCTGTTTATTGCTGCTCTTTTTCACCGAAAGGGGAGCGTTTTTGTACCGCCAGCCGGGACCGCTCCGTGCGACTGTGGAACACCGTAACCGGCAGCTCTTCCGTCATGAAGGGCGGTCACAACGGGTTTGTGCTTTCGTGCGACTTCTCGCCGCGTGGAAATCGCATCGTTTCCTCTTCTGATGACCGCACCATTAAGGTGTGGAACACGACCACCTGCGCGAAGGTTTACACCTTGAAGGGACACGACGACAAGGTCTACTGCGTGCAATACAACTCCACTGGCGACTACATTGTCTCCGCGTCCTGTGACCACACGGTGAGGATTTGGAACGCCGACTCCGGCACGAAGATGTTAACCCTGCGGAGCCACAGTCTCGCTGTCTTTTCTTGCTGCTTCAGCAACACCGACTGTGGGAAATACGTTGTATCTGGTGGAGACGACCGCTTGATAAAGGTATGGGACTGGGCCAAAGATGATGAGTACTGTTCCATGGCTGGCCACACCGACACTGTTTGGTCCTGCAAGTTTTCACACGATGACGCTCGCATTGTTACAGCCTCGATGAATCATGAACTGAGGGTATGGGACTGGAAAAACAGGAATTGTATTCTTTCCTGGAAGGGCCATCAGGTTCCTATTCATCATGCCGCTTTCTCTACCAACAACAAGTACATATATTCCTGCGCCAGGGACTGGACCGTCATGGTGTGGGACGCCGCGACAGGAGAGCTTTTTGAGACAATTACTGGGCACCACAGCACCGTCTATCATTTGGATGTTGTGGGGAACAAATTACTAACATCTTCCCTAGACGACACACTCAAGCTGTGGACCATCAACGAGAAGTAGTGAAGGAACAACAACATCCCTCTCTCTCTCTTCTCTCATCCCAGTGTTTTTTGTTTGCGTTTTTCACCGATACGTTTGCTTTTCTTCTTGGCGTATTTACTCTCTTGTGCAATGGGGGTCCGGAATTCTACCTCCATGCATTTTTGCACCATCAACATGCTGCGATTGGAGTTCCATAAGCAAAATGGATGTGCATTACTATTTATTTATTTATTTATTTATTTATTTTGTAGAGGAAGGATAACTGTTGGTCTACCCATTTGGGTTCAATGTAAATAATGGCGGGGACATAACAAACACACACAAACACAACCACAAACACGCAGACACACAGACACTCAGTGGGAGAGAGAGGGGGAGAGGGGGAGGGAATGAAAAGAGGAATTGCTTATTAAGTGAGCGATAATAGTAATAATATATATTTATATATTTCCCTCTTTGTAATTTTATTATTATTATTATTATTATTATTATTTCTTCCTCTCTTGTTCCATAAATTATATAGAATGTATATATATATATATATATATATATATATATATATATATATATATATATATATATATATATATATATATGAGTTTGTGTATATTCTTTTACACTTGTGTGTGTATGCGTCTGTGTTTTTCTTTTTTTTTTTTTTTTTTTTTTTTTTTTGAGTGCTTTGAATTAGCAGTTTTTTCAACAACAAGGAGAAGCAGGGCGTGGATGAAAAAAATTTTTCCTGCGCTTTATGAAAAGAGGGGGGGGAAACAAAAAAAAACAAAAAGAAGCCAGCGAACGAGATTCCATTTTGATGTCAAGTGACCAGGAATGTCGGCCGGATGATAAGTGGTGCGCGGGCGGCTTTGCATTTTTGAATGCGCATGGCGTGTGACACACACATGTAACTACTGGCATTCCAGGAATTGTGGGCTTAGCTGCACTCTTGGGTTGAAGCGGTCCGACGTTTAAAAAAAAAAAAAAAGAACTATTAACATTTAATCTCCGTCTGAAAGCTTTTTATTTATTTATTTATTTGAGCGTGGTGGCTGTGGTGCGGTGCTCATATTTATTTGGGCGAATGCATGCGTAGGAGGGCGTTGAAGTCGGGAAGTACGGATTGAGAGAAAGAGAGGAGCATCCATCCTTTTTTTTTTTTTACGCTTGAAAATTTCCCGCGTTTTGGCCATTGCGATTTCCGTGATGTTGGACATTTTGCTTCACACTGGAACTCACGCTTCTACTTTGGTGCGGGCCGCGAGGAAGTGAAGGAGAGCGGCCGTTTGACGGCCGTCAATATTCTTCTGCAAAAAGACGCACTGTACGATGAGGAGCTGCGCGAACTCAACGCCAGGGGAGCTCCCACTCGACAGCCGCCTGTCATACCGCAGGAATTCGCACAGGAGACGACGTTCATGGCAAATGCTGAAGCAGCTTTGATTGCACTGCGGAGAGATTCTCCGTCTGCCACTGTTCTTGCAGACGATGAATGGAGTGCCGAGAATGTTACGGGCGAATGGAGTCCACGCACTGCCGCCAAAAATGACCCCTCCGTTCCACAAAATATTCACTTGCTCAGCATCCGAGGGCAGTATGAGTCCAGACGACCGCCTCGCCCTGCTCCGCGACGTGAAGTTGATACTGCAGGGTTTAAATGCCGACAGCACTGCGCGTGCGCGCGTGTCCCGGCCGATGCTGCTTTTGATTCCGGGACTGTGTGGAGTCGTGACATTTTGCTGAGCCGAAGAGTGTGGAATTGCGACTCCTCACGGAGAATGTGCACCGCGTTCCCTGCATGTTTTTTATTTATTTACTTTTTACCCTTTTTTTTTTTTTTTTGATGTTCGGTTGCTGGACACTGCAATGAGCGAGTTGTTTTAGCCTCTTGTTTGCTTTTGTTTGTGGTCTACACGCGGTGCCGGACTTGCGGCTGTGCGTCCCACCGACAGCAGGAAAAGAGAATTGGAGGAACAGGCCGGATACCGCACGAAGTGTGAAGAATGTTTTGGGTGGGCTCATGGAACAGTATATCTTTTTTATTATTTTAATTCCTCTTTCTTTTCTTTTGTTGCCCTGTCAATATGTATATACACAAACACACGGTCGTTTTGTGCTGCATGGTACATGAAATAAGATAACTGTTGAATCAAATGTGCTTTTTTTTTTTTTTTTTTTTTTTAAATCTAATGCGGACCTTCTTTTTGTTTTTTTATTACCCCCTGCCACCGCGTGTCTATGCGTTTTTTTTTATTTTTTCTCTGCTGGCTGTGCTTCCGACATGGCTCCATTCCCTTTTTTTCCCTGCTAGAGGCACCGATGGTCCACGACGATGATTGCTTGTGTTACCACTTTGCGATGGCACGAGGGTGAATGGGCGCCTTGCCCTGGCTTGCTGAGTGCACACGGAGGGGAGCGGATGGTGTGCGCCGTGCCTCATTTGTGAGTGTGGGACGCCACCGCCACGACCTGCTGTGAGGCGTAACGCTATTCCTTCGGGGCAGGGGTAAGTAAAGGACTGTGGTGGGCTTGGATGCGCCCCATCCCTCTTGTTCTGGCCGTGGGTGTGCCGTGCGCATTGCTGTTTTGCGGTACGATGTGGATGGCGGTGGCTCGCGTGTGCCTTCGTGCATTGACTGTCCGGCGGGCTTTGCCCTTGTGTGTGAGGGGGTGAGTGTGGGTAACTGCCAGCCTTGCCCCGCGCACTGGGGTCCTCCACACACGTGTGACTCATCTTCGCAGCCTCTTGCAGCATCCAGGGCTTAGCGAGGAGGAGGATGGGGAGGGTCTGTTGTGAGCAGAAGGAGGATGGAGAGGACAGTCCCCTTCCGTGTCCTTCCCGGTGTCGTTGGCAGTACATACTGAGAAAGTAAATTTGAGCGAGTGCGGGATGAAAGGTTTATGCCGCTTTGTGTGTACTAATCAATCGTCGTCATTGCACGTTGTCGTCACGCTGCGTTGTGGTGCGGTGCCGTTTGATGAGGGAAGGGTGCGATGCCACGGCCGCTGCGCACCACAACCATTTATTGCCTCTGCACCAGCATTGTTGTTTTTCAGTTTGTGTGAAATTTTTTTGAGCTCGCATAATAATTTTTTTTGCTTCACGATGAATTTGTTGGAGGAGCTTTGGTTTTGGTGGCTGCTTCACGGTGCTTCGCCTTGTGTGTTGGTTGCGGTGCTTCCACGTGATGCTAATACGTTTGGTGAGGTGCTTACCCTTCTTTTTGAGTCCTGCAGCCAGTTTTGTTTGGTCATTGCGGCTGCACTGGGACTCTGCGACTGCGTGTTCGTCGCACGTGTCGCATCTCCCGCTGTTGCTCCCTTGCTGTGTTGGTGGGGGAGGAGACGAGCGACTGCGTTGGTTGAGTGGCGCCCCAGTTTGAGAAGGAAGGCACCGGCCGTTGCTGACGGTGAGGGTCTTTGCTGCAGGTGATCTGGCGAGATAACGTTAGCGGTGTCACAGTTAACCGAGATGGATGAGGGCCGCACCCCGCCTCTCCCTCCCCTTCCCTCCGTTCCCCAGTCTCCTGCAGACTGACGAATTGCAGGGCAGCGACGTGATTAAAAACAGGACGTATATGAGTCAACAGACCGCACAATCGATGTGGACTCTTTTTCCCCGTGTCTGGCTGCTGCCACCGTACTTTTTCATTCGTCCTTGCGTGTGCCGTGTGCGCGTATGATGCCGCTGCTTGCTGTGCAATGCTGACCTGTGCGAGCAAGAAAGGACGCCTTGACTACTGGCGAGCGGCGATTTCTCCACCCCTTTTCCGCGCCACCATTACCGCGTTTTTGGACGCGCTCGATGGCTGCCGGTTGCAACGCCGCCACGTGGGTGTGTCTTGGCCCTGTGCGTCTTTCACTGCATTGGGACTGCTCTGTGGTAGAAACATTTGGTTGCAAGAGCGGTGCCAATGGCCATTTGTCTTTTTTCTGGGATCTTACTGGTCTGCATGGTGGTTATGTGGGGCTGCGTGGGCGGTGGGAGGGCGATGGTATCACTGGCGTTATGGCGTCTGCGCATCTTTTTGTCGGTGTTTGTGCTTTGGTGGGGATTGTCTGTGACCGGATGCCTCTGCGTGCCACTGTGTTGCTTTTTTTACAGCCTTTTATTCTGACCGTGCAGTTAAAGGTAATTTGGCTTGATCAGCACAACTATCGTTTCAAGGTGTTAGGGATTAATTGCTGTAGGATTAGCAGTAGTAGGATAACGATCTGGCGGGATTGTATCACTAGATTTGCCATCTGTAGGAAGGTGTTTGCTAGGCAGGAGTTATGGTTGACGGGGCGAGTGCGACACACCACGACAGCCCTTTTATTACCTGTTTGGGTCGGTGGATGTGGTCTGCGGTGGGTGCGTGTCCGCGCAGCCGGCACCGCGTGCGGAGCAGTGCCATTGCGGCTGTGCGTGCGGTGCTGCTTGTTGTGTTGGCGCTGGTTGCGGCGGCGGCGTGGATGCCCGCGGTGCATGCGGTGGTGGTGCGACTGCGGGGCGGCACGGTGGACAGAGCCATCACGGTTGGCCGCGCCGTGGACACGGTGCTGATGGACGGCGTGTACATCACGAACGGCGTGGCTGTGGTGTTCGACGTTGCTGCGATGCTTCCCGGCCCGCTGCGCATCGAACTGAGCGACTGCGTGTGCGACGGCGGTGCGCAGATCTGCGTGCGGGGCTACAGCGGTGAGCCGGCGAGTGACCGGAGCGTGGAGGTGAGCGTGATCGGGTTGTCCGGAAGCTACTGCTCGCTTGTGTTTGTGCACAACCTGCCGGCACACACGAACGTGACGGTCCGTGACTCGACGATTGTGACGGCGGGACCGCTGCAATACTCCCAGCTGAGCGGGCTGACGGACGCGGTGGCTTCACCGCTTGTGCTGCACGCGACGTCACTGTTGCAGACGCAGCTGCGTGTGAGCAACACTGTGCTGAGGTCGTTGCACGCGGGCGGGTCGGCGGTGTACGTTGGCGGCGGTGTGGACCTGCTGTCGAGCGCGGTGATGCTTGACGGCGTGTTGCTGGA